CCGCTGTTATGTCCGAGTGCGCCTGTCGCCGACATTTGCATTTGATATCCCAATAAAGAATAAAATTTGAAAACTCAAGTGTTTATTTGCTTGTATTATGATATTAGGTAGGGATGTACCTAATACAAATTTGTGAAGAAGTACTTTCGGTTTATTTTCGTTATTAAAGGTTTTGATGGTTTATTCACAGCTTGTTTATTTGTTTGAGGGATTTATTTTCGACTATTTCACAAGAGTGTTTTACACTGGCAAAATGTCATAGGAACGGCCGGTTTCCTACTGACAAAACTTCTACCTGTTCCTACCTGGGTAAAACCAACATGATGGTTTTTCAGCGACAAAATTTTGTGTGGTTAAGGTAAAAAACTGTTGAGTTTGACAAGTGTCACCTAAAGAAAATAAATTTTCCAAATGAAAATTTGGCTTGTTTTTCTCGTGAAATAGTCCAGCCGAATACCACTCAATAAAAAATTATGTAGGCGAAATTATTCTCTTGGTTTTATTCAAGTTTGTAGCTTTTTGGTAATTTCGCTCATGAAATTTTTGACAAAACCACTCGCCTGGCGGCTCGGCCAAGCAACAAACTTTCATACCAGTCGAAAATTTTGCCAACAACATTTTTTCTCTTGTGGTATTATATATGATAAAAGTCGATGGCTACATGATTTATTTTGAAGTGAATTTTCTTTAGGCGGCGGTATATTCTGTCGAAAATGGAGAGTGATTTGAAGGACGCGTCACTTAACGTCACGTTTTGGGAAATTTCGTTACACGAGAAAGAATAAAGATATAACGTAGAGAGACGGAAAAAAAAAACAGCTAATGACAATGAAGACCTATCGGCCGACGAACGATTAACACAAACCAAGGATTTATAAACAAGGAGGATTGCCTATTATTGTCAAGCGCCGATACCCTTGTGACGTCACTGCAGATACGCGTCTCTCTTTTGCGTGGTCCTTCGTTTTTACCCCGACTCATACGCTAAGTCTACAAGTTGTACGAGGGGTGGATGGTTTTTAATAAGTTTCACTTCTACCACGTGTGCACATGATATTTTTTTTGCATCAGGATCGTCGGCGGCAACCCTTTTTCTTAATCGGCCGCCTCTTTCAATCGGCCGCCTGCGTGTTTTGAATACACTGCACACATGGTAGCGGCGGCCCTGACGCCCATCCTCCAAAAATTAAAGCAGTCCACTGCCCGGTAAGGAGTAAAAAGAAAATCTTACGTTGCTCAGCATATACAGCCTGGTCCATCTAACACGTTGGCTGCCACCATAAGGGAGGTAGATACCTCCTTGAGGGGCCACGATGAATAAAGGTCAAAATATTGTTTAGATATACTTTCTATTGTGAAAGTGATTAAAAAACACACAAAAAAAATGATTTTTCTTCAAATAAACACTGAGTTACACTGGTGATGCACATGGCATACAAATAATATAGATAGCTTATGTGCCATGTGTAGCACGGGTGATCAATGTAAAAGAATGCATACGAATAATATGGATAGCTTATGTGCCGTGTGTAGCACCGGTGATCATTATAAAATAATATATGAAACATGTTCGTTTTAGTGCGTCTTGGTGGAACACGGTGAGCAAAAAGCTTTATTACATTTGTCGCAATATGTGGACACAAATTTAGAATTTTTCATTGCGGTTTATCGGTCATCCTTTTGATGCTCCACTACGGTAGTAGTGTATTAACACAATTCGCCAACCAATTACAGAAAGTTGGGGCTTATATTATTGGTAGGCCACCACTCAAATAACAAACCATAGAATGCAAGCCAACAGAAATTACGCTAATTTAAAATGGGTGCTGAACATAAACGACATGGATTCTATTAAAGTCTCGATTCTCCTTGTTTCAGGTGATAATTCTGCAGATGAGGTCGACGAATGAATATGAAAATTATCTAATTTTTTTGCTTTTTTTTGTGTAAAATAATAGAGAAAAAACAATACAGTTTTGGGGATAGTTGATCTGGTTGACACGGTGATGGAGTCCTTCGAGTCGTTAAAATACGCTGCGGACGATGCGGTGCTCTTCTGTGACTTGAGCCAAGCATTTGACTGTGTGACCTCCTTCTTCGGAAACTGGCACTCTACAATCTGACTCCAGACAGTATTTCACTTTTAAAATCTTATTTGGAAAACAGGGTTCAAGTTGTGGCGGCGGGTGGAGCGTCGTCAACAGAGTGTGTAATTAATATAAGGGTACCCCAATGATCTCAAAAAAAAAATGGCTAAAGAAAGAACGCTTCTAATGCTGCTAATTTACGAGGTCATAATGTAAACAAAAACAACTGACTGGGACAGCTGTGAGCGTGCGCAGTAGATACATGTACTGTGCGTGTAAAAAATCTGGCCAATGAAAATGTAGGAATTTCAAAATTTAGAACAGTTATTCGAAAGATAAGACACTGCGCAGGCGTTAGGCTGTTCCGTTGCACAACTGTTCGTAGAATATTGACCCCAAATTTTCGCACAAGTTTAGCCAATCGAGCTGTATGATTGCTTATCCATTTATTTTTTAGATCAGTGGGGTACCCCAGGATTAAGGTTTGGGACCTATTCTTTTCTTAATATACATCAATGCTTTGCCTTATGAAAACACAAAGGCACATTATACACTCTTTGCGGATGATACTACGCTTTCTGTCTCGGCAGGTTCCCTGGAGGAAGCTGAGAGAAGGTTACGGGTTTCACAGTTAAGTGCTGCTCAGTGGTTTGATACAAACAGGCTGCTTCTAAATCAGGAAAAAACCAATAAAGTTGTATTCTCGCTACGAAATCTGGATGATGCAACTGAAAACGAGACACACGAACGTAAAATTCTTGGGTGTTCTTGTAGATCCCACTCCCAAACTAAAATGAGATATATCCACATAGATCACGTGGCGAGACGGCTCCGTAGGGGTTTGTTTGCGCTTCGACGGCTGTCTGAGTGTGTTTCTGGGACGGTTTTGGGGACGGCATATTTTTCTTTGTTTCACTCCAGCCTGTCCTATGCTGCACTCCACTGTTCTGGGGGGCCATGCGGCTCAGGCTGGTCGTGTTTTTGGAATGCAGCGAAAGGCTTTACGGATTGTGGCGGGGCTGGGGTTTAGGGATGACTGTAGGCAGACCTTCGTGAGCCTGTCAGTCCTGACTCTTCCGTCCCAATACATAATACATCCTGTACAGTCTGGTGCACATTAAAAAGAATATCGGAGAATACGAAGTGCACAGTCAAAGTTTGTGTGAAGTTTATAGCCATAATACCAGGGGGCGAGTAATTTGGTGACGGGGTATTGCCGACTGAAGAGGTGTCAGACTGGCTCTAGATACTGGGGCATAAAGTTTTTTTAATTGTTTGCCCTATAACATGAGGGTGTTACCTGAAATCCAGTTCAAGGCTACATTAAACAACTTTTGCTCCGAGTTTTTAAATAGTGATTTTGTCATGTCACACAGCAAGAGAAACCGTTGCATTGCAAACACGGTTTGAAGGTGAACTTCTTTCAAGAAATGGGGATGTTAATTGGCCGCGTGGATCTTGCGATTCTACGCCACTAGAATTTTTTTTGTGGGGTTACATCAACAGTAAAGCGTATGTGAACAATCCCTAAACAATCCAAGAGTTCGTGAGATAGCACCGGAAATGTGCACAGATGTGATCGAAAATGTTGGCAAAAAAATTGTGTGCTATGAGAGAAGTCGCGGTGCCCATTTGTTGGATATTGTGTTTCACGTATAATAATTGTAAACGATCATGTTACTTATTGCTATAAAGTATTAAATGTTTCCTAGTTTGATTTTCGTTTAAATTTAAAAAAAAAAAACATCCGGAAACTCTTATTGGAACACACTTTATATGTAAAAAAAATCCAAGGACAACATCGAAAACCTCGCCTCTCTGCTGGATTTCTATCAAAAGATATCAGTCTTTATAGTTTGCAACAGAACGTAGACATGACGTCACAACCGTTTGAAGCCTAACAGATTCTGCTTTTGTGCCTTTTGTGTACTACTTTGGTTCAAAACCAAAAGCCATGTTTCACCTATTTGAGTCAACCTGTATTTAGGTGAGAGTCGCAGGATTTTATTAGAGTCTGAGTCTACGGTATCTGAGCGGTTGTGACGTCACGCTTCCACGATTGTATTGCGAATATCTCGAAAACCGTTGAGCATAAAATGGTGCGGCTTGAAATATTATTCTAAGATTATATTATACAGAAATTTTGCTCAAAAGATAGTGGTTTTATGTATTTTGCTACGATTTTTTCTGCATACCCCCCCTCAAACAAAATGTTTGCCTGCGCCACTGATTTATTTAGAGCAGCAACCTTATAAAAAGGGCCAAAGGAAAATTATCTTATTCTGAAAAGCGTACCTAGAGCGTAATAGAACTTGGTTAGAATCCGTAAATATTTCTCGATACTTGATTTTAAATATAAAGTCCGGTGGCGAAGTCTAAATATCCGTCTAATTCTGAAATGAAACACGATGAATGTTCTAGAAAAATCACTCTATGGACTTATTTTTGATGTCAAAGATTTGTTTTAGAATAATTAATTTTCCTAAAAATCGATCTTCTGTTAAATCAATTATTTGAATAATAAACACAAATTTCAGCATTATCATATTTTTGTTATGTCAAAATTCAAAAACCTGAAAATTAATTTAGAAGTTTACTATTCTGATAAAATACCGACTGGTACGGTGTTTGTGGAGCAATAAAAATGCTGTTAATTTGAGTTTTCTGTTAATTTACCGGAAAAACGATTTTCAAATATAGGCACTGAAAAGTCGATTAATCGAGAAATATCAAAAAATTCATTACCCTACATTACCAAACTGAAAAGTCGATTTTGTGGATTACTGAAACAATAGATTATTGAAAAACAATTTTATTGCAAAATCAATTTTTCGGCTTAGCAATCGTGAACGCTGTATTTATTACGGCGAATGACCGAATTCGACATGTCGTGTGTTCGATATCTTTCCATACCTGATCATCTGGTTTTCCATATTCCGGTGGATTCGCATAGGGATCATAACCCAAGACAGAAAGCATAGGCGCTATGTCCGCCATATCCCGCACTACGTCATCGGGTATGTTTCCAACCCACTTGCTAAGGGCCTCCATGTTTACTGGTTTGATTACTTGGTCCGAAGATCGTTCCACCCTGTAATAATAATATAAATTACCATTTTAAAATTTCATATTTTTTCAAATTCCTTAGAATCTCAACAAAAAAAAATTAATACATCCCAAGGGACACGCCCCAATCCTTACTTATAGAAATAAAACCCACAAAACATTTCAATTTCTTCTCGAATGGTCCATTTCACAAAGTGACTATGGTGTATGACTTTCGTGAAGGGTTTCATTAAATGAGAGCCGACTCCGAAGAGTAATTTGGAGGTTTTACTTTGTTTTGTTCTTTAATTGGGCAACTTTTGCAATCTTATTGCCCAACTAATTTTGGGGCCGCGATTTACGGGAGAACAACAAAAAACTAATTTGTTAGCTCGTAGAATCCCATTTAGCATTGTTGCCTTACATTATACGAAGTAGGTAGTCGACAATCCTCGCGAGTCGCGAAACGGAGGACGTTAATTTCCTTTTTTGTGTGTTCTATAATTTTTTTATTCAGTACTCAAAAAGCAAATAAATAAATTCAATATTAACGCGGGAGCAATCTAGCCACTGGTTTTTCTGCCCTGATTGCTGATATTTTTTTTGTTCATTTGTAATTTGAGTGGCTTCTCAATAATTGCACTCAGAAAAATTACATTGGGGAAGATTCAAAAAAAAAAGTTGTTGAATAACAATTCCGATAATATTGTCAAATGCAACTACAATCTGTTCAATTTGAGCAGAGCGTAAAATTTATTTCAACCAATAAAAAATTGTTGCGACACAAAACTTGATTTAACTTGAAAAATAGATATTATAACTATTGTTTTGCTCACTAACCATGATTTTTGTTGAATTTTGTCACTCCATACCAAAAAATGTTTAATTCAGTTTTACCCATTATTGGATGGTATATGTAACCAATTTAATCGTTAAAAGTGACTATGATATTTTGGGAAAACTGAACTATTATTTAGTTCACTAACAGTTTTTTGGTAAAGTTTGTCAAACCAAACCAGCAAATGTTTAATGAATTTTCAAGCATTAATGCATGGTATGTTTTACCAATTTTAATTGTTTAGTGACAATAATATTTTAGGCAAATTTAACAATTATTTAGTGCACTAACAGTTTTTTTGATAAATTTTGTCGAAACAAACTTTGAAATGTTTAACTAGATTTATAACCATTATATTTAATGGTAAATTTAAATCACAATGTTGTTAAGTTACTAAAGAAATTTGTTAGCTTGTTTACTAACAAAATTTTATTTGAAGTCAACCCTCTGATTTACCACATTTACAAAATTATTGTCCGAAATGCTATTTTTGTTTGGCTTTACCTATTAATGCATACAAAATTATAAATTTATATCGGTTTTCCTTTTTCCTTGCCGTGATCGGATCCAGGCCAGTAGGTATATCACCCTCGTCTAGTGCAGACAGTAGACAAACAGGTGAAACAGGCGCTTGTTTGTTACGAAATATGGACTTGCTCCATATTTACGTTTTTATAAAATCATTGTAATTAATCCAGATTAATCACTGATGATTAGTGAATAATTCGTTCGGAGTATGCGGACCCAAATGGTAAGTCAGGATGGATAGCTTTCAAGAGAAATTCACGGATTCGTTTGTGAATTCTATTTAATTTGATTGAATTTGGTAAGAAAACATATTTATGTTGATATCATTTAATAAAATATCTAACAAGTGCCTACTTTTCTTATAGATACAACTAGATTTTCCGAACATAAGGGAAAATTATACAATTTAGTATCAAAATGGAGCAACTTTAGAAATCTGGCTCTACCGATATTCAACGAAGAAGTGAAAGATAAACAGAACATAATCTCCTAAAACTGGTTAAACACAGGAAATCCTGATGAAGGTAAAATTCTAATATTCTGTTTTTGACGATGTACCTACAAAAAATAGTTTATCAACTGAATAATTGTTATTGTACCTTCTATTTTGTTTCTATAACAAAAAATTTTGGATACCGAACAATCATCCAGTCACTCAACTAAATAATTGTTATTGAGCATGAATAATTGTCATTATACATTCTATTTTGTTGCTACAACAAAAGAACTGGTTACTGAATCATTACTCTAGTGAAAATATTGTTAACTATTAATTTCTGGTTGTTATAACTATGAAGGTCGATAGGCTCACTTTCATATGCTCTTTTGAGTTGATTTCATCTGTCATTTTCTTTGCGTGTGAATTTGCTATTGATGACTTCATTACTTAATAGGTCTGTTTCTGCAGAAATCACAAACCAGTCAGAGCGAATTTCATTGGTTGAAAACAGTCAGAAACAGTCAGAAAACTAGTTTCAACCAATGAAATTTACTCTGACTGGTTTGTAATTTCTGCAGAAACAGACCTAATGCACTCCGTACAGAAATCGGCCATTTTCCTAACTAAACTATAAAAGTTGTCTAGTCTTTATTATGACTAGGGGTCTATAGCGACATCAAACCGACTTTTAATTTTCCTTTTAGCTCATCCTTTGAATGTAGTCTTTCATATTTAAGTAGAAATTTGGATATTGTCCGGTGTGGGTGGGTTTCCTGTAGACTGTAGAAGGTCGCATTGTTGTATTTGCTGTTTCTTGTTTTGAGTACATCCAAGAATGGGTAACTGCCTTTTGCTTCATTTTCAATGGTTAGCTTTACGGTGGGTCCTATTCCGTTAATGTGGTTGCGAAATTATGCAGATAACTCTACTGTTCTACTGTGTTTGAACTTAATTATTAATTTATTTGTGGGCCACGACGGGTGATAATGGTGATCCTCATAAGCGTTACATTTTTTGTGCGAAAAATTGGTCTTGGAGTTTTCCAGGAAACATTTTATCAGATCTATTCTTTCTTCTATATGTGAACTGGTTCTTCTCGCTAAATCTCTCTGGACTGGACACATCTATGGATAAGAAAGACCTTATTGCATTAGAGCGGTGAAGGATTACTCAAAAGAAGGTAACTAATATTTAAGAAATATTCTCCGACTTGAACCCTAAGAAAATGTTTTCCAGAAGACGCGATGCTCAAACGAATTCTTTCTTCTGAAACGTGTTTTTTTCACTTATAGGTATACCAAACAAACTATTCCTATGCTACATGTATATAAAATTCCTTGGAGGATCGTATTAAACTAGTTCCAAAATCTTTTTAAAGTCATTCTAACTCGCCTTTCCGTTATGAAAGTTATTCTTTTCAATGGAATGGAATAAAATACATATTCGCTTAGTTTCATCTTCCATAATGCTATTTTTATTTGATAACGGGTCTTCAAAAAAAAAAAACAATCAAAGATTGCTATGGTTTTTTAAACGTACTGTTACGATAACGCTGCCGCCAGAATAACGCCGCCGCTAGGATGTCAAGAACCCAATTTAGCGGGATTCCTACGGTGTTTTCGAGAAGGATAGTTATTGCGTGTATTCTAGATTGTACATGAATAGATTTAGGGATATATAAAGGCCGGTGCACTACCAAGCCAAAGGTAGTTTTTAAGTTCAAGTTTGACCGTGATACGATTTAGTTAGTGATTATTGTTGAGAGTTGTAAAGAGTTTAGTTGTTGAGTTAGTGTCAGAGTGTTTAGTTAAGTGGAATAAATTATTGCTGTGTTAATTGGACTTTAATTTTGGAATAAACGAACCCAAGGTTTATGTCACGCTACCCAGAGTCGTGACAGTACAATACTACAACGTAGCAATATTTTTCTTGAATTTTGTCAATGAACTTTAATGTCAAAATGTCATGTCAAAAATCCTGACCAATAAAGAAACAATAATGCGACGTACGTTTAAAAAACCAATGCAGACCCGTTATATTTAGATGGAGATTCTCATAGATTTTTTTTCCCAATATTTTCTGTTCAAAGAAAACTTTTTGAAGAATACGTACACACATTTGTTCGTTAGTATCGATACAAGAGCAATATTTAAATCAGCATTACTAACAGAAATTATTGGTGATTATATAAAGGGTGTCTCAAAAATATTTGCTAACAGGGTGACCGTTTTTCGAGGGCAACCATTGGGATATAGGAAACGTTAGGAGATGCAGGGTCGGTTGAATTGGGGCAAAGTTTCGCATTTTGATGCTGAATAAAATGGTGATTTGACAGTTGAAAAATTCTAAACACTTTTCGAGATATCCGGAAAAAACCGAAATTTTGAAAAATCGATTTTATATTTTTCTGAGCTTATTTGAGGAGATATTTCAAAATAAATGTCTCTTCATGGTAGCCACTTTTTCTACTCTACAAGATTACATTATCAACTGAGGAACGAATTTCAAAAACTGAAATCAGCGGTTAATTTCCAAGAAAATATCAAATGGAAAAATAATATAACAGTTACCGGACTGATCGATGTCAATGAAGAACCTGAAGTATCAAAGAATAAAATAATTAAATTGGTTCAAGGCTTAGAAGTCGACTGCAATGTAGAAGATTTGCATGATGTCAAATTATTTAAAATTAATAATGGTGTGAAAGCAGTAGTGACCATGGGATCTATGGATTTAAAGGAAAAAATACTAAAAGCAAGGTCTCGAAAAGGCAAACTTACTATTAGGAATACAGGATTGTGAGAGTCGTTGAAAGCAATTTTTATTGGTGAGGATTTACCAAAGGAGATGTATGACCTATTTAAAAAAGCTCGAAGGCTGCTAAAGGCCAAACATTATAAATTTGTTTGGCATCGCAATGGTAAAATTCTTGCAAGGAAAACCGAAGACGACAGGTATGTTGTCATCCGTGAAGAAAATGATTTAGAAGATCTTTCTTAAATAACCCTTGTCACTGAAGTGTATAATATTTAAAGTAGTATAATGGCTAATGATAAGGACATTTCTTTGTTTAAAATTATAAATATTAATGCAAGGTCCTTACTACCTAGTTTTGTAGATTTCTCTCATTTAGTTTCTTATAGTTATGATGCCATTTGTGTTACAGAAACCTGGTTAAAGAATGAAATAACTTCTGATGCAGTGTCGTTACCTGGTTATAATTTTTTTAGGAAAGATAGAC